CTAGCCCGTGCCGCGTGTAGCCGCGCGGCACGGGGTTCGAACAAGCCGGCATTTAAAAATGGCGGCTCCCCACTTATGCAAATGAAGCCCGGGAAATTCAAATCCCGGGCTTCATTTGCAAGTGCGGTATGCCTACATTACCCTCCTAGTTCGAACTAGCGGGGTAGTGTAGACATACCCAGAGAGTCTTTGATAACCGGCTTTGTGAATGACCATACAGCGACATGACAGTCATTTATGTTGCTCTTAACAACATGCCTCCTTTATTAAGTGTATTAGCCTGTACTTCCCCTCCTGCCCAGTGCATATGATACTAACAATAAAGACCCTGTTTTCAGAAATCACGCATTTTTATTTAGCGAACACTGGGAGCAGAGACAGAAAAGGGGTTCAGGGCATGAGCTTGGGGGGGTGGCGTACAAGGCCAAGAAGTGTATAACAACCTCCTTGCTCAGCAATCAAAGCTGTGGGAATGACAGCCTTCTCTTCCAAGAGACATCTCTGGGAGTTGAGTGCAAGGCTGCCCTTGATTTCCGCTCTCCCCTTCCCTCCCCTCCTCTGCATTGTAGGGCACTTGGGAGAGGAGGCTGTGGAACATGGTGAGGAGGACAGGTGCCTCATCCAGGTGCCTCAGCCTCTTTGTCTGCTCCCCCATGATCCTCAACACCTCATCCTGGGTCTTGCATTCATGTTCCCTGCACGCTCTCCTCTCATGCTCCATTCATATCACCTTCAATATCATTCTCCTCCATGCATTTAAATGCGCCCTGGTGGTGCGTGTGGATTACATTTGCTCATTAAACGTGATCATCTCGAGTGTGGTTTTTTTCGCCTTCTGATCTGTGATAGCCAAAGCACTGGAGGAGCCAGGGAGTGAGCACCAGATTGACTGTTGCACACGCTATAATGAAAAAGTGAAGGACAGACTTAAGAGAGGATACATTGCAGAATGCAGACTCAAACCTTTTACCACGAAAAGCCATCTGTTCTACACAATAGGCATGTGTTACATGCAAGGCCTACTAGGCAGAAACAAGACACAGATCACCATGGTGGAACTGGACTCTGGTTGCAGGCATGGTAAGCAACAAATTGGTTGCTTGCCTCTGCTTTGAAAGCATGTGTGGCTCAGTGACTGCAAACTACAGCTCTGATGGCTAGGTGTCCATCAAAGGAGGGCCACTGTCACAAGGAACTCTGCCAGGGAGAAGGAGCTGGTTGTGCTTGGCGGGACTCATGCAGTCAGCAAGTGTTCGCCACCCTTGTTTGCCAGGAGAATGCAACTTTCCCTTCTGACCGGGGCCTGCCAGGGGGAGGGACATGCCAGGCACACTTGCAGGGACTCCCATGGTCAGCAAACTTGAGCTCATGCTTTGTTGGGGATTAGCAAATGGAGCTGTACTGCCTGAGTGCTATTAGTTACATAGGGTATGTCTAGACTACATGCCTCTGCTGACAGAGGCATGTAAAGTAGACTACACAACATAGTCAATGAAGCAGGGATTTAAATATCCCCCACTTCATTAAAATAAAAATTTCCGCCGCGCTGTGCCGGCTCAGCTGATCGTCAGCACAACACGGCAGTCAAGATGCAGATCGGTCGACAGGGACTGGATGCTCTGCTCCCCTGTGAGCATTCTTCTCCTCCTCCTCTTCATCTACAATGTCCTCATTGTTGCCCAAGGCTGCCTGAAGAGTCTTTAGGGAGGAATCCATGGAAGCTTTGGGACACCGGTCAAGTCCCTCCCTAGAATCCCATGCAACTGCTCATAGAAGTGGCATGTCTGCAGCTGTGACCCTGACCATTTGTTTGCCTCCTTTGTCTTCTAGTATGCCCCTCTGAGCTACTTTGCATAAATATCAGCATTTCTTCTGCAGCTTCGGAGTTCTGCCTCTACAGATTCCTTGCCCCACACAGCATCACCTACATGCTCCATGCTGGTGCTCATTTGCAACCCTGGGCATTCATGGTCAGGTGTGCTGCTGAAATGTGCTGCTGTGCTTGCCACATTAGCCAAACATGAGATTATATTAAAATTTTCCCAGAGCTTTTCCTGTGCACCTGGGAGAGCAGCAGAGTTGAAAGTGTTCACCAGTGCGGTCACATTGGAGCACTCTGGAACACCTCTCAGAGTCCAAGAACATCAACTTTCACAACGTTGTGTCTTGCATTGCTCCAAAGTTGACCACTCAAGGTTGAATTTAGCATTACTCCTCTCATCAAGGAGGAGTACAGAAATTGAGTTTTAACAGTCTTTAACATTGGTGGAACAAGCTTGGTGATATAGACGCATTGTTAAGAAAATTGACCTAATACAGCTAAGTTCAACCTAAACTTGTAGTGTAGACCAGGCCTTAGGGGTGTGATTGGTAGGAGAAGCAAAGTTTGGTCTTTATTTTTGTCTATCAGAAAGATGGCAACCATAATGATACTGAATTATAGTAGGACATTGGTGAAGCCTGGTTACTTCTAAAATACAGTTACACTGACATATCTGATGTTAAAGTGTGTAGTTGTGCAACGGATTTAAACTGTTCTTCTGTAGCTCAATTGTAAACTGTAAGTAGCCATTGTAGGATATTGAATAAATCTTTTGACCTTTGTATAAAATATACTTGTCTTCAGTTGCCATCACCCAAGGAGGAGCAATACAACTGGCTAACAATGGCACAGACGGAGTCCAGGGACTCCAAACATTGACCATGACGAATGCAGCTGCAACCCAGCCTGGTACCACTATTTTACAATACGCACAGACCACTGATGGACAACAAATTCTGGTACCGAGCAATCAAGTTGTTGTACAAGGTACACAATTTCATAATCATATTATATTCTGTTAATTCTAAGGCAATTTAACTTACCAATAATTCCCTCAAATATGTCAGTTTTGGCACAGATCAGTTTCTGAAACAGGTAAAATAAATTCAAACAAAACCATAAATCTCACTTTTTTGGAACCATTTACTATCACTCAGAATAGAATTAAGATATTTTTGGATATAGAAAATTCTTCTGTTTTGGTTCCTGAAAGGTAGTTCACTTCTGCTTTGTCTATACTGTATTTCCTTTAGCTCGTTTAAGAGAATATTTACTATTTGTTTCTCAAAACCAGTGACACAATTTTCTTGAGAGTTCTTGATTTCTGTCAAGTGGTTTTCTACAATGATGATAAATTAGAAGTTAAATTTTAGGAGTATTTTTCAGTTCTTAGGGCAGAGAGCTGTTCATAATGTTCTTTCCATAAGGGAACTTTCCTTTACTAGTAATTTATTGCCCTTTCCAGTTAGAAGTCACTGTTTCTTTTTAATACTGTTCCCTGCACTACAAAAGAGTCCTTTTTTTTTTTAAAAGATGCTTCTGATTTTTCTCTTTGTTCAGGTCATTGAAGGAAGAGACTTTTAAGTCTTGATGAATATTAGTATCTTAAGATTAATGTATACATATGAAAAATACATCTTTTTTTCTTTTCTGTCTTGTATGTGTTTTTTTTTTTTTTTAAAGCCATTTCTTCAAATAATAGGATTTATTCTAGAGAAAATGCAATAGACTTCCAAGTAAATAAAAGCTGAAGGTTGTGGGCTCTGTTTCAAAGGTTAGTGCATAAATTCCACGTGTGTTTGTTGTGGGTACAAATTTTACATTCCTGCAAATCCTCCCACAGTCACCCCTGCAGATCCATATGCATGGAATTACCAGTTCACATGTGCATTACCAGTTCACTGGCGTGCACCTAGAAAGTACTGTTTGCCTAGGAATATCCCAAAAGCTATTTCCTGCTTACCTTGCTAGATTTATGGTTGCTTAGCAGGTTCACAAAATAGAACAGTCAAAACTCCATTGGAAGAAAATTTACAGTGGCACCAGCAGCTGCAGGATAAATCTTGTTGTCAGACACAAGTTAAGCCCTCTTCAGCGAGAATTACTGAGGCCAAAACTAGAAATGAATTACCATTGATAACCCAGATAATCCCTTCTGCATTGTAGCCCAGTCGTTGCCTCATTTTTTCTGGTTATGTTTAGATTGGTGACTAGGTGTTATTCGCACAGTATTTTAACAGTGGATTCTCACAGTGCTGTGTAACCTAATATGATACTTCCCTTTCAGCTGCCTCAGGAGATGTGCAGACCTACCAGATTCGCACAGCACCTACCAGCACCATTGCACCTGGCGTGGTCATGGCCTCCTCCCCAGCACTTCCTACGCAGCCAGCAGAGGAAGCTGCACGAAAGAGAGAAGTGCGCCTAATGAAGAACAGGTGTGTGCAGTGTTAATTTTGCTTTGTTTGTGCATAGAATTAGAGTTCTCAGTGTTAAACTGGTGTGATATACACCTTGCATTTCTAACAGGTCTAGAGAAGAGTGGGTTGTGCAATGTTTATGCAATAGATTCCTGGCTAGTCTCATCCCCTTTATGAAACATTATATGAAGAAGGTCAAAATGTCTTTAAAGATGCCAACTAAGACAAGCAGCATCTGATAACTCAATATATTGTGGCTATGAAGCCATAAGGTTTGGTTGTCAGTTCATTCTGCAAGTGCTGAGTTACCCTTTCAGCTAGCATTTGTGGCCAGAAGTAAATATTTCACTGGTAACAGGCAAATTTCACAGTCTCTTTTGATTACAGAACAAGTTCTTTTAGAGTTAAACATTGCATTTTAAAGTTCAGCTTCTTAAAGTAAATGAATTCTTGCCATCACCTTTTCTGTGTTCTTTAGCTTAGTCTTCTATTAATTCCCCTTATCATTAGTCCCTGTGCCCTCCTCCCACTTTGGTAAATTCTCTCTCTCATCTCACCCATCCCCTTTTAGCCACTTGTCCCTTGGATGCTATTCTCAGAAGGCAGCAGCATCAAAGATAAGGGGCAGAGAAGCAGCTGAACCTCTGAGTTTGGTGTCAGGACTCAGCAATGGCAGCAGTTAGGGTGAGGGAGAGAGAAAAAATAATTCTACCCTGTGAGGTGGGGATGTTTGGAGAAGCAGGAACTGGCTTCGGGAAGAGAAAGAGCCACTCCCCCAAGCCTGTTAATTTGTGTGGGAACAAGGAATATGAGGTTAGAGAGAAGCTGGGAAGGAGTCTGCTCAAGCCTGGATGTTGCAAAGGTGAAAGTGGCTGCCTAGGAGTGGGAGAAGGACAAAGGGGGTTAGCTGATTATATCCCAACCAGCTTGAGCTGCACGACAGGCTCCGTGTTTGACACTCTGCATTAAACAGTATTATCTAAGAAAATGACAGCATTTTCTGTGATGGGCAAAAAAATTCTGGGGGTTATGAGGGCCCTGATTGACTGACTTGCTATTCCAAAAAGCTGAGTGTGTTATCTAGATGAGTTTAACTTGGTAAGCTGTGGATACGCAGCAAGAGGACATCACATGAACCAAGTGCTGTGTACTATGTGAGTGGTATGAATGAAGAAAGAACTAGTGCTGAACTTTCCAAAAGGTCTTTAACTAAAAGGTTTCAGATATTAGTGAATAGTTGGTGTTACTGTTTCCCCTCTAAAGCCTCTTCTGTGGTTAAAATTGTGAGGTCTCTCAGCAGGTCAGGAATCCTATCCACAGTCAAGGAAAGCTTTGCAGTTTGGAAAATATCAGAAAAACAAGGGAAATCAATTCTGTCCATCTTATACTAGTGTCTTCTGCATGAGCCACATTGCCTTTGTTTAGCCTGCCTAACTAATGGATGTTTCAGAAGTGAAATTACATTAGAGAAGGAGGGAATGCCCAATATATATGGGAAGACAATATATACTGAAGGATTACATAAAATATTTATAGACAGTATTGAATCTGCCAAGATTAATCTCTCAAAAACAATTTCTGGCTGGATAGACAAGTTCTTCAAGTGCTTGCTCATGTCCATTCCATGATGCATGTATCGTCAGAAATGTTTCCCTTAGCAGAACCCGTCAGGCCAGCAGGGGAGCCCCCTGATGTGGTGCTGTTATACTGGCCAATATATGCCCTGGCTGGCCCTCCACACTGTCAGTTCCTTCTTACCGCCTGTGAGGTCATTGGAATGTGATCTTACTCTCAACTGGCAAGCGCCCTTTAGCAGTCAACTCGTTTTCAAGTTATTTGTTCTTCGTTTGTTGTTCTAGTTTTTATCAGTTCTCTAATTAGTTGCTAAGTATTGTTTCTTAGTGCTAAGTACTGTTTGGTAGTGCTAAGAGCCCGGTGCGTACAGCAAGGCATACCTGGCCCCCAGGGCTTCAGACCCCGCCAACGGTGCCAAAGGCCTATGCCCTGCGGAGACCCACTCTGCCTGTCTTAAGCGCAGGGGAGAGGCTCAGTTATCCAAGGTCTGCCAGACATTCAAACCACCCTTATGGCCGGCACCAGCATCTGACTCAGAGCACTGGCAACTCAGAGCGCACCGGCCTCGGTGCAGGAGGCGTTGAACCACAGAAGCACCCTCCCGGCATCATGTAGACCTTGGCACCGTTCCCAGTCCCCAGTGCCTCAGAGGAGGAGGAGCAGTATCAGGGGCAGGTCTCCCCCACGGCGCGTGCCCTGCATGCACCCATAGCCCAGGCTCGCAGGGTCGGGCAGGAGGCCGAGCCCGCGCCGGGACGTGAGTCCAGTGGGCGACTTCCTGGAGCCCTCAACTCCAGAGGTGTTTGAAGTGGCCAGGGACCTAATCGAGCAGTACCCTCCTTTTCACCAGTACCGGCTGCCGGAAGGGATTGGGACCTCAGCCGGCACTGGCACCAGACCCCAAGAGGCACCACTCTGCAGCGTCTTCCCAGGCCGCCCAAAGCCCGTGCATGGCACTGTCTGCAGGGCTGGCACCAGCGGCGACCTCTACCTCAGCCTGTCCCTCTGCACCAGATTCGACACTGGGGCAGGTGTCTCATCTGGCACTGAGCATGGCACCGACCACCGTGACCTCTGGCGCCGCTCGGGGCCCAAGTCCGAGCCTGACCATACCTCCTCCTGTTCCCGTCGGCACCGGGGAAAACCGGAGTGGATGGCTTGGCATGTCCCAGCAGCAGCAAGGTCCCATGGTCGGCGCTGGAGTACTCAACAGACTCAGAGGTGGAGTCCATCTGGTCGTCGGGGGGATCCAGATCCAGGTCACGGCATTGGCCTTATTCCCACCGATCACAGCACCAGAGTATCTTGGCCCACCAACAGCAATGGGCGCAACTGGTCCCGGTACTGGCAATGCAGCAGGCCTGGCCCCCTCAGGCCCCAGGATCCTCTTAGTGGCCTTTTTGGACCCCATGGGCCTATCATTAAGCCCAGGGTGTGGCCCCTTCCAAGCCAGAGTCAGCCTTCTCCCTGTGCAGGGGACCCCCCTTAGCAACCGCCCTGACCTCTTCGCTCACATTGGGGCAGTCGCTCCCCCTGCGCCGAATGTCTCCCAGGCCCTCGGAGTCCAGGGTTCAGGCGGGTCAGCCCCTTGCAGGGCCATCAGCAGCAGCCTCCCAGGGATCCTTACAGGCTGAGTGCCCTGTCGAGATGGTGATGAAGGAGTCCTCATCTTCCTCCCCCAATGAGGCCCTGAGTGACACTCTCCTTTCCATGCCCTCCATGGTCTTGAGGGCTCACCAGGACTCCCTTAGACGCCTGGCCTAGAGTCTGGGGGTCCAGGCTGAAAGGGTGTCGGAGGACCCCAACCCAACTGTTGACATCTTGCAGTCGGATGCCCCCAACAGAGTGGCCCCTTCCGTATTGTGGCATTTTGATGTCTGTTTTTCCTTTGCACTTTGGTGCTCATAATTTGGAGCTTATTAAAGTTTAGAGAGCCGAGTGCCGGTATTTTGTGTTCCAGGAAGGGAACGAATACCTTTTCTCCCCTCTGCCCCTGGGGTCCCGAGTCGTTCAGGTGGTGAATCAGAGGGAGAGACAGGTTCAGCCTGGTGCCACCCCTAAGAACAGGGAAGCCAAGCACATGGACCTGTTAGGCAGGAAGGCCTACAATTTCATATAGCAAACCAGCAAGTTCTGCTGTCTCGCTATGCGTATAATACCTGGGTCTCCCTGGATAAGTTCACAGAGTTGCTCCCCAGAGACTCTCGGCCCAAGTTTAGAGCCCTCTCCCAGGAAGGCAAGCCTCAATGCAGCTGATGCGGCCGCATGGGCCATGGCCACCAGGCTAGTTATGCGCTGCAGCTCTTGGTTGCAAGGGTCAGGGGTGCCCCCCGAACTGCAGAATACTATCCAGGACCTCCCTTTTGAAGGTCCAGCATCTGCACCGTCTCAAGGACACTCAAGCCACCCTGAAGTCCTTGGGGATTCATACCCCGGCCACCCAGAAGTGCTCCTTCTCAGGGAGGAACATCCCAGGCCTTCCCAGCAGGGTGTGCGACCTTGACTTCCGTTGCCGGAATAGAAACGGCAATGGAAGGAATGGTAGGCACCGCCCCAGGTCGGGCCATGACCAGAGTCAAGGACCCCTCAATAAACCCGTGGGACCCTGCCAAGGGTTTTGAAGGTATGCCTGAGGCCAGTGTACCAACCTTGTCCCTCGCCTTCCGGGACCATTTAGTTCCTTTCCACTGGGCCTGGGAATCTATCACCTTGGACTGCTGGGTCCTGGTATTCGATCCCCTTCCGCTCTCCCCCTCCCTCCCATTCCCTTACACCGTCCCTCTTCAGGGACCCCTCTCACAAGTCTCTCCTGCGGGAGGTGCTCCAGCTCCTCTCCCTAGGGGCTGCAGAATCGGTGCCCCTGCGGGCAGTTTTCCCCCCCATCCTGGATTTGTGGGGTCTCAACTGCTGCATCATCAAGAAAATATTCAAGATGGTGACTCTGGCATCCATAATCCCATCACTAGCCCCCAGAGACTGGTACGCTGCCCTTGATTTGAAAGATGCTTACTTTCACATTTCTATTGTGCCCCATCACCAACGGTTCTTCCGTGTCATGGTGAGTAGGGACCACTTTCAATTCACAGCCTTCCCATTTGGGCTATCTACAGCACCCAGGGTTTTCACAAAGTACATAGCCGCTGCACTCAGAAAACAGGGCGTCCAGTGTTCCTGTACTTAGACGATTGGCTCCTAAGGGGGACTCCGCCGACCAGGTACAGGCTCACATCAGCCTGGCCCAAGAGCTCTTTGAGGAACTGGGTCTACTGTTGAATGTGCCCAAGTCAACATTAGTGCCTTCCCCGGTGATAGAGTTCATGGGCACCAATCTGGACTCAACAACGGCCAAGGCCTTTCTCCCCAGATCCCGCTTCCTGGTGATCAGGTCAATGGTTTGGGACATGCAGAGCTTCCTGCTAACAACCTGCATGCGCCTCCTGGGC